CACACACACACACACACACACACACACACACACACACACACACACACACACACACACACACACACTCTTACCTGGAGACATACTGATGGATGCAGTCAAAGCTGGCCTGTGGCTGATCTTTGCTGTCACTTGATAAGTAGAAGGTGAAGACACGGAAAGCAGACGGTGTCTCTGGTGTAGGAGCTGGGATCTTGATGCACTATAAGGGAGAGCACACAAAAAAATAACAAAAGATTGCTTTAGATAGACACACTGGAGATTTTCCTGTTCTTGTACACAGGCTTGCATTGAACTGTGTGATGGTTAACATTAATGATTAAAAGGTCGATTGTTTTACGGCTCCATTGCCTACAAATTGCTTTAACATCTTGTAATTTCTCCCAAAGAACTAATGCAACTTAAATCCCTTTAAACAAGCTTCCCAGAGATCATCTATGAGCAGAAATTTAAGCTATGCTGCCGAGAGCACTGTAGCCAAAACACAAGGCTGCACAAGTCAAGGTTTCTGTAATCAGCATGAATTAGTGCATATTTTCATAAACTAACAGCCTGCAGTGTCTCGAGCAGACAAATGAAGCTCTAATAAGTCATTAATGCAAAAAGGACGATATTTTCTTCACATTCAACAAGAATAAAAATATATTCAGATCATATTGTGTTTTTAACCTGCAACCTTCATTGATTCTCCTTTTCTTTTAGTTTTCTGATAAAAACTCCACTGTTTTGATTTAATCCCATGACTCTGGTAGCATGGATTTGGTCATTTATTAGTTTGCATCCAGCAAAGACTGCAGATAGAAATCTGTTCCTCACAATCTGCTAAATCTAATATAGGCCCAACTCAGCACAGAGCCGGTTCTGTCTGTTGTTCTGAAATGACCCCACAGGGCCTGAAGCTGGTCCAAAAGCAGCTAAAGATGCAAACTGTCGGCCAAAAGTGTCCCGAAAGAAAACCCACTGCCAGAGCAAAGTCGATTGTGCTGAAAGTTCTCAGTCAACCAGATTTTCTTTCTAACAGGGACTTCTTTCAGCCCATAAATTAATCTGTTCTCTGCTTTTTCTTCCTCTCTTTCTTTTTTTATTTTTAGTAGGACCACAAATGCCCAACTGAGGACCACCATTACTCCACACAGAGTTTAAAAGAAACTGTGCAAAAGCTGCTCAAACTAACCAGATTAATTGCTGCAAGTTTGTTGAAATGATTTCATGCAAATCTACAGCACCAACAAACACGAGAAATGCTTTTAGTTAAGTTTTAAAACTTACAGTTCATTTTATCACAATTTGTTTCTTTCTCTGATGAGTGAAGCAAAGCTTTGTGTAAAATATCTGTATAAATGAATTAATCTGAATAAACCCTGCTAGAAGAAAACCAGTACAAGAAACCAGAGTCTGAATCATGTCTCAATGTGATTAAATGCATAAGGAAACCATTTGGCACGTGCATTCATCTTCCATCTGAGTTCATGAAAATAATCTGATTACAGTTTCTGTTGGGAATCTGCAGGAAATAAGGAAAACATCCACGACAGAGAGAAACAAACAGCATACAATTATGGGCCATTTTAGTAAAGGAGAAATCAAAAACCCACATTAAGGCAACCATAAATATTACAATAATACAAACCCATAATAAAGGCTATTTCTATTCTATTCTATTCTATTCTATTCTATTCTATTCTATTCTATTCTAATATACAAGAGGTTCAGAATCATCTTGTTTCTTCATCATTTTGGACAAAACGTTTTGTGCAAAAAAAAACTGTAAAATTTCATGTTTTATAATCTCCACTATTTAGGAGTTGGACAAATACAAACAAAAGCATGTTTTYTCTTCAGCTGTCAGACATAAACGTGCAACTTTTTAGAGCATAAAATGAAAAGAGGTGTAATTTTAAAATGTTTTACATCAGTGCTTAAAGAGGATACAAACTAAAATATGAACACGCTTTTAAACATTTGTGAAAAGCTCAGTGGTTGGAACTGATACCTCACAGCAAGAAGGTCCTGGGTTCAATTCACGGTTCGGATGTGGGGTCTTTCTGTGCCGAGTTTGCATGTTCTCCTCGTGCTCGTGTGGGTTTTCACACAAAAATATGTACAATATAGGTTGCCTTCAGGCCCAGGCCTCCCTTGCAAAAGAGATCTGCGAGCTCAGTGGGATTTGCCTGAATAAATAACGGTAAATAAAATAATAATAAACTCAGGACTCGAACAGGAGGTTTTACGAAAACACAAAGAGGTGTGAAACCACCATGCACACTARAGACGGCTGCAGTCGAAAGTTTTTCTGCGCTTGTGCGAATAAATAAACAGTAACAATGGTAGATAGCAGAGAGCTGTTTGTGCTCCTTACCCTTTTCAGAGATGAGCACAGCAAACTAAACATTTAGCTTTAATAATTCATAATCTGCTATCTGAAAATATAACTTTGCTAATGCTAAACATGTAAAAAAAAATAGAGGAGCTAACACTAAACAGCTAAACAAGTCAAATTAGTGAAGGCTAACACTAATAGCTAATGAATAAAACAACTGTTATTCAGTCTGCATTAGAGGAGAGTAAAAATATTGTTTCATCAAAGCATTGTTAAATATTTTTTTCCAATTCAATATTAATTCAGAAAAACCTCAGATTCAGCTCAATCCCCTGACAAGTTTTTCATYTTTTTATGTTTGAACTCCAGKTTTAGAACAAGTATTAATAWGCTACTGCTTTATTTTCAGATATTTTATTTCTCAGTAATGTTAATGTATACCATTTCAATTTATATGGGCAAGAAAATAAATATCAAAAGATTAAACACAAGGACTCTAATGAATTATTCATGTACCTACTGTATTATGAAACTGATATTAAAGCTTTTAAAGCTGTGTGGAATGGAATTGTGATGCAAAGAACTGAAATCACATTAATTTGAGAGTTTGTTAACAATACTTAGCTCTAGTCAGCTGTTAGCAGACTTTATGTTGGCAAAACCTATTTTAGCTAAAGTTAATTTGTCTGCTAATGGTTTTCAAAGTTAGRGAAAAAGCTAATTCCCTAAATGAAAAATCTGTTCCACTATTATTTGTTAGCGGTTAGTAGAACCACTGCCACCACTGACCCTCTTCAACGTGTAGGAACAAACCAAACTCATCCTCGGTCCAAATGAAGGTTTGTGATTTCACTATTTTGTATGCAACTGTTTTCATGATTGAGACTGAAGCGTCTGTGTGCATCTCATTGAAATTCAAAAATGCTCTGTTTACATTCAGCAACTTTGTCTAAAATCAATCAATCAATCAATCAAGCTTTATGTCTATAAAGCCCTTCATACAAAATCAAAAGCAATTCAAAGAGCTTAACAGTGGAAAAAAACAAACAAAAGATAGCCTCTATAAAAGACTGATCAAACAGGTTTTTAGTCTGGTTTTAACAGTATCAAGGTTATGGACTCCTCTCAAATCCTTCTGCAGGTTTCGGTGCGCAGCTCCTAAAAGCAGAACCACCAAAAGTTCTTGTTTGGCTCTGTGGGATGTTCTTGTCCATCAAGCTCACCTCAAGAGTTTTGCCACAAGTTTGCAACAAAGCGACGGTGGACGCAGGCTCCTACGTTCTTATCAGCCTGCTGCACATGTCTTCACAGGCAGGCTTCCACCGCAGGAATTTATACAACTACACACAGCTGAGCTGCGACACCACGGCTGCTCAGGTGGATCAGACTTTCTGATGTTTTAATGTATCCTGTCATTGTGTAATGTTTGCCTCGTGATAACACTGCAAGCCTCAAAAGTTCAATGCTGGAGTCCCCGTGTTTATCAAAGACAAAGATAAGAAAATGGTAGAGTGAAGGGTTAGTTCACATTATGAGAGACTGTTGTTTGTAACGCAACATGCATATTTTAAATTGGCCCCTAGTCAGACCCATGGAGAAAGGTTTAACGCCTTATTTTACAAAACCTAAAACTAAAAAAAAAAACTTCATGCACAACATATATTTAGAATATTTACAGCAAGCAACTTTGAATTAGCTGCACAAAAACAGTCTTTTCCTCCTGAAAAGTAGGAAAATATGAATAAAACTTAAACAGCGTCAGTAAAATAAATATTGCTCTGTATGGAGCTCAGAAAGTGCCAGATGTCACAGGAAAAACAAACGCTGGTAGAGATTTGTCCCACAATTATCACAGCTTTTCCAACAAACATCTTTCTGTGTGCGAGCAAAGAGCTCATCGTTGTTTGGATTTTTGCAAAGTTGGYCAAAACTTCACTCTAAGTATCTTATCTTCCATAAAAACTGCTGTAAATTACAGACTTCAGCTCACATTAATGGTAAAGAATTGAGGTGGATAAGTTCTTAGAATTGTCTCCTGTGCTAATGATACTGATGTTACTGAACATTATGGGTAGATGTTGCGATCAGTGGGCGAGCTCCGAACCCTGGATCTATATCAGCTCTGCATTGAAAGCATTCCTCTAGTGGTCCTCCACTGCAGCAACATTTAATAATTCATCTTCTCTCCTCACCGGGCCGCGCTGCGTTCTGTCGCGGGACTTCCCGCTGCTACAGATGTCCTGCCACGCAGCCAACAAAGCAGCGCTCGCTGGCATTTATCTTTTGACGACCGCTCATACGACCTCCGCTGGCATAACTCTYGCCTCCCTGCTGTGAAGCGCTCGCTTTCCCAGCCCACCGGGGCCCACACCGAAGCCTACCGTTCTCCCACCAAGAGGCACGCTGTTTCCAAGCCAAACAGAAGAATTTTTTTCTAAAAAAAAAAAAAAAGAGTTCATTTGTTGAATTCCTTTCAAGCACAAATATTCAGAGAATCTGTGGGTTACTTCTAATCTTTGTGGTTCGTTATTGAAGCTAAAACGAGTGGTGGGTTTGATGAAACAAGTGGTGAAGGGTCTATTTTTAAAGCAACAACTATTAAAAAATGCCTTGGACTTTACTTTTTGTGACCTTAATAAATGGGGGTTACTCGTGCCCAGGAGCCAAAAGACAAAACTTCAAAGCAGGAAGAGGTTGAAGCAGACAAGTGTTTCAGCAATTTTAACTTTTAAAACAGGCTTATAAAGCTTCTTGCTCTACGTCTGCACTAATTCCCATTTTTAAACGGTAAAATTCCCCAGATGGAGCAGAGTCCATGTCTGAGGGTGCGTTCACACCGAACGCGATTTCAGCATCAGGAGCATCAGGTTTACATACAAAGT